GTGAGCTAGCTCACACCAACTCAGCTTAGAGGGAACACTGCTCATCACCTCCCCCCAAGGCAGCTGATTCCATTGCTGCACAACTCTTACTGTAAATCCCCCACCCCCAATATCCGGCTGGTACCTTCCCACCCTTAATTTAAACCCATTCTTGCGAGTCCTCTCCTCTGCAGCCGACAGGAACAGCTCCCTGCCCTCGTCTAAGTGACAGCCCTTCAAATGCTTCGAGAGAGCAATCCTGACCCCCCTCAACTTCCTCTTCTCCAGACTGAACATTCCCAAGTCCCTCAGCCTCTCCTCAAAGGGCTTGGTCTCCGGGCCCCTAAGCGACACACCCCTAATGTAGCCAATCCTCCAAGAGCTTACAGTAGCTCCTGTAAGGAGAGCTCTGTAAGCTCTTGGAGGATTGGCTACATTAGGGGTGTGTGGCCTAATATGCAAAGGAGTTCCTGCTACAAAAAGAGCCCTGTGACTCTGATTATCCACGTACTCTCTCTCAGCCTAACCTACCTCACAGGATTGTTGTGACGATAAAACAGAGGGAAAGGGAGTGACGAAAGCCGCCTTGGGTCTCCATTGTGGAGGAAAGTTGGGGGTACAAATGAAATAAGTACGTAAATAGGCAAGGAAGGAAGTAAATAGAAGTACCCAGTATTTCAATTCTTCTCTTGCGCTAGGGCAGCGGGTCATTTTTTCAGTCACAGACCGAGGGGCGTGGCCAAGCCGCCAAGGAAAGCCGTCCCACGACCTTCGAGAGCGCGCAAGTTTTACTGAAAACCGAAAACCAGAAACGTGAGCGATTACAAACCTCGCTTCACGGCGACAGGAATGTGACCAGCGGGCAAGCACAAGAGAAGGAGTTGGAATGCTGGGTAATGGCGGAGAAAAGCTGGACGGGATTCACCGTTACAGCTCCTAGCCCCAAAAGGCTCCTTTGGACTCCTCAGAAGTTGACAAAGGTGTTCAGTCCCACACAGCTTTTGTAGAACCAAGTCCCACGATTCCCAGTATAAACTGGTGTGCGTGTGGAGGTTGGAGGTCAAAGGAGACCCCTTCCTTCACAAGCACAACACAAGAAGGACATAACAGAAGCCTTATTGTATCAGACCAATGGCCCACCCGGTCCAGCACTCTGTGTCACACAATGGCCAGAACCCAGGGGCCACCAGGAGGTCCACCAGTGGGGCCAGAACTCCAGAAGCCCTCCCACTGTGGCCCCCCAAGCACCAAGAGTACAGAGCATCACTGCCCCAGACAGAGTGTTCCTTCTAAAAAGGTTCCCCTTGCTTGAAAGCCAGTCGAATTTGACTCTAGGGGGTGGTGCTCATCTCCGTTTCCAAGCCAAAGAGCCAGTGCTGTCCGAAGACTTTTCCATGGTCCGTGGCTGCAATGACTAGACGCTGAGATGCATGGAACGCTGTTCCCTTCCCACCGAAGTGATACCTATTTATCTTCTTGCTTTCGAACTGCTAGGTTGGCAGCAGCTGGGGCCAGAGATGGGAGCTCACTCCGTCACGCGGCACTCGGGTCTCGAACTGCCGAGCTACCGACCTTCTGGTCGGCAGCTCAGCATCTTAACCTCTGAGCCACCGTGGCTCCTCTATCCCTTGTGGCTGTTAGCCACTGATGGACCTCTGCTCCATACAAGAAGCTGGTTGGGTCCAACCCCATTTGATGGGCAGGTCTCTCTGAAAGCAGGGGTTGCTTAAGTACTCTGGGTCCTACAGCTTTGGACTGCATATGAGGGAACCAGAGTTGTGCCCTGGAAGGCTGGCACAGATATATACATAAGCAAGGTGTGGGCTGGATGCCTGATGGAAGCACAGACAGCTTCAAGAGGGGACTGGAGAAACATCTGGAGCAGAGGTCCATCAGTGGCTATTAGCCACAAGGGATAGATGGAGGACTCCTTCTGGGGCAGTGATGCTCTGTCTTCTTGGGCTTGGGGGGCAAACAGTGGGAGGGCTTCTGGAGCTCTGGCCCTGCTGCTGGACCTCCCGATGGCCCCTGGGTTTTGGCTACTGTGTGACACAGAGTGTTGGACTGGATGGGCCAGTGGCCTGATCCAACATGGCTTCTCTTCTGTTCTTATGTCTGGGGCAGCGATGCTCTGTCTTCTTGGTGCTTGGGGGGCAACAACACGGAGGGCTTTTGGAGTTCTGGATCTGCTGGTGAACCTCCCGATGGACCCTGGGTTTTGGCCACTGTGTGACACAGTGTTGAACTGGATGGGCCATTGACCTGATCCAACATGGCTTCTCTTATATGTTCTTATATGGAGCAGAGGTCCATGAGTGGCTATTAGCCACAAGGGATAGAGGGAACACTCTGTCTGGGGCAAGTGATGCTCTGTTGCTCTGTCTCCTTGGGCTTGGGGGCAACAGTGGGAGGGCTTCTGGCGTTCTGCCTCCCCCCCCCCCTGTGGAACCTGGGTTTTGGCCACTGTGTGACACAGAGCGTTGGACTGGATGGGCCATTGGCCTGATCCAGCATGGCTTCCCTTATGTCCTTACGAAGCTTTGCTGCCTTCAGACGGTGAACGGCTATCTCGTGTTTTGTCAGCTGAGCAAGACACATTTCCCAACCTGCCCTCCCTCCAAGCACTTGTGGAGCATACAGGAACTTCCAGCTTGATTCCATATACTACTTGCTTCCCTCGCGGCTGCCCCACAAGCAAAACGCCCCCCCCCCAAATAATGCCTCTTACCTGATCACTGGCTTTATGGTAATACGTGGCGTGTGCTCCCGCTTGGCCTACCGTCAGGGTCCCGATCCAGTTAGGTGCTGCGAGGAGAGAAAAAGAGGACCCGTCACTTGTCTTGAAGCTGGGGAAGGGGGTCGCTGCCCACTCATCTGGACAGCAAGAGGGAAAGAAACGCCACCTGCGGAAGAGCTGCTCTGTGGGCGTGCAAACTCTCAGTGCTTCCTCCGTTGTGGCTTCTGCATGGTGGAATGGCCTGCCCGAGGAGGTCAGGAAAGCCGCCACACTCCGGACCTCCCGCAAACTATGCAAAACTGAACGATTCAAAAGGGCTTTTCTGCCCGGGTTGCACGGTGCAAAATGGTTTTACCAACTTTCTCAGATAAATGATTAGGGACTGTGGTCTACACTAGGAGTGTCAAGGAAAAGAAATTGGGGTTTTTTTGGGATTCAGGTATAAAACAGTCAAATTTATTCCTCATTCTTGAATATTCCAGAATACCAGTATCTGCACTGTGTTCGGATTTGGGAAATATCCGGTCATACCGAATATATTCGGCTCCATTATACCCTATGGGCCATTATACTCAATGGCAAATCTTCTAGAGTATATTCAGTGGGCTGGGGGAACGTTTTTGAGGTAGAGGCACCATATTTTCAGTGTAGCTGCTGGAGCCTCTTGCCAAAAGAACCCCCAAGTTTCAAAAATATTGGACCAGGGAGTCCAATTCTCTGGGCACCCAAAGAGGTTGCGCCCCCATCCTCCATTTATTCCCAAGGGGAAAAATAGCAAGGCAATACAAGCCCAGCAGAATGTCCCAAAGAATCTCTGCAGTTGAAAGTGTAGTGCGGGGGGCATTTTTGCAAGGCCAGCAGCAGAACCAGTACAGTAGTGCCTGCCCTGCAGCAGAACCCACTGCTACTGTGGCAAATGGCAGCTCAACATTACTGGGCTTCTGTGTATTGGGCTGGCCTTGGTTCAGGTGGGCTAGCAAAAATGCCTGCCCACCCTGGACTTCTGAGTGTTCTGCTGGGCTTCTACTACTGTTGTTTCTGCAAAAAATAAATAAAAAATTCAACACTGCTAGGACTCTCTGGTGTGACATTTGTTAATTCTGTTGCTGCCGCATTGGCATTGCCTTCTGCTGCTGGGCACTAGCAAGTTGGCACTGGGTTCTGCTGCTGGACACTAGTAGGTGGGTTCTGCTGCTGGACACCAGTACACTGCACTGCTTCTGTTCTCCTTGCAGAAATCACCCCCTCCCTCAGTTTCTATTTCAGAGATTCTCCGATTTGACCTCAGTCCTTTTGGGTTTTGGCACTGGTTCTGCTGCTGGCCTTGCAAACATGCCCCCCCTTCACCTTCTACTGCAGAGATTCTCTGGGACATTCTGCTGAGCTTGTATTGCATTGCTACTTTCCCCCCACTGGAAACAATGGAGGATCGGGGCACTGTTTTTGGGTGCCCATAGAATTGGACCCTGTGGTCCAATCTTTTTGAAACTTGGCCGCCCTTTTGAGGAGAGGCTCCAGCAGCTATGCTGCAAATTTGGTGCCTCTATCTCAAATCTCCTCCCCCTCAGACCACTGAATATACCCTAAGAGATTTGCCATTTAATATAATGGCCCATAGGGTATAATGGAGCCGAATAATAGCCGAATAAAACTGTATAGTATTTGGGAATCTGTATTCGGCTGCCACAAATTCTTTTAGTCTTTAAGGTGCTGCTGGACTCTTGCTCTTCTCTACTGGTACAGGGAGACTACCACCACTACCCATCTTAAAGAAGTGAGCAGTGACTCATGAAAGCTCCTACCCTGTCACAAATTTTGTTAGTCTGTAAGGTGCTCCTGGACTCTTGCTCTTTTGTCCTGCTAGAGACAGACTAACACGGCTACCCAACTGCCTCGCCACACGTGATCCTCCTTGAGTCCCTGTGAGAAAATCTAATTCAGCACAACACTTCCCTTAAAGACTTTAAAGCAGCAGCCAGATCCTTTCCACCTGCTGTTTTCGGACCCGTGACAGCGACTACGAGCATCTGCGCATGAAGAAGAAAAGGGAAGTGGTCCGAAATTCTGCAGGAGTACGTCGGTACCTGTGTATTTCCCAGCCA